TACCATTGAGTTAATAGGCTAAGAAAATTAGTTCTAAAATAGTATAAAAACCACGGGACTTATAGGGAGTCCGCCCTCTTCTTCTCTTATTATGCAAATTGAGGGTAAAAACACTCAAACTCAGTCTACAAGGATGTCACAGCCCACCAACAATAACATACATAAGAGCCATCAACAATAGAGAAGAAAAATCAGAGATATCACCCAAAAACGCAGCGATCATGGTAGCATTAACATAACCCTAGTATTTTGTATTTTAGATTTATAGCTCAATCTTTATGAATGATTTGAAATGTTTTATATGTAGAAATATTATTTCTCTAGGTAATTTGTATGTTGGTTCTAATTGATTTTATTCACATTTTGTAATATTATGTACAGGCGACATATGATGCGATGGAGCAGGTCACACAACGAGATAATGTTCAAGCATCCGAGGAGGAGTTGTACTATGCCTCAGTTGATGGACATGATGCTAAAAAACGTGCCTTTGGTGTAGGAAAGATGTCCAAGACCATGCGTCATGAGAAATCGACTTCCAAGCGCCGTCGTATGAGTACGAGTTCTGCTGCTGAATCATATGGCTACCTCTCAACCGTCTATCGTAGATACTCTCAAGGGAGATAGTATCCAGATGCTTCGTGAACCTATTGCCCAAACTGTAACACCCCGGCCCCCACCCTATCCGTAAGTGTTCGCTCATAGGATTGTAGGCTGGCCCCACAAACCAACACAAGTCTTTCCCACACACTTTGTCCTCACTCGTGCGCGCCCAAGGAAAACTTCCCAGGGGGGTCACCCATCCTAGAATTTCTCCAGGTCAAGCACGCTTAACTTCGGAGTTTCTAGGTGATGAGCTCTCGAAAAGAAGATGCGCCTTGTTAGTATGAGTAGTACTATCAATCCTTTTGAGCTTTTCACATTCACATCTTGATACGGGGTATTACACAAACAATCATGGAAGAGATGCATAGATTGTTTTGAGATCGCTTGCCCCGTAGGGAGGACGGAGGAGATGGTGCTGGAAGTGCACCTCAATGTTAGTGTAATGGTTTAATTTTTTAAATAGAAACAATAGACATTTTTTTGTGTGACAAGTACATTAACTCTTACTTTAGAATATGAAAAATATTGAATTGAAACTCTTATCTTGTGGATTACGTATGTGTTATATTATGTTTAATTTGAGGATACTCCTTACATTTATTTGATGGTTAATCTTGCGCAAAACTTAGGGTGAACGTAGTTTGATCATGTGTTTGTTGTTTTCAACTTATGCAACGGAATAGTTTGTAGCAGTTGGACGTGACTATTTTTTTGTAGCAAATATTGCAATGGAATATTTGTTGCATTTTCCCGTTGCAATATTCTGCAACGGAAAAGGCATTGCAAAGTTCGGTTGCATCACCTTGCAACAGCATTTCTGTTGCAGCTCTTAGCAATGACAATTCAGTTGCAATTTGTCGTTGCAATAATATGCAACTAAAAAGAAGTTGCAAAATTCCGTTGCATTACGTTGCAACAAGAATTCCGTAGCAGGAGTTAGCAATGTCATTTCCATTGCAAATTCCCGTTGCAAATACTTGCAACGACAATTTCTGTTGCAATTTTCCGATGCAATGCTAATGCAACGGAATATCCGTTGCAAAAAGGAATCTGCAACAATGGTTTTTGCAACGGCAAATTTGCAACAAAATTGTCATTGCAATTGTCCATTAGCAACGGAATACGATGAATATTGCAACGGATTTGGCCGTTGCAAT